GGCCGTTTGTCAAGTCCGACGACGTGCTCTTTCTGCTCCAGCAGCATAGAGCGCTCTGGCAGGCGTTTTGCCTTCTACTCTGTCAGGGTGTCCACCAACACGCACGTTACCATACTGCCACGGAGTGAGCTGCTTCTGGGCAGACGGCTCTGTGTATTTCAGCATCTGCGTAGCTCTGCGGGACTGTGTGCCGCCATCATTCACCCAGCGGCTGATCATCTGCACAGGCAGACCTGCCGCCCTTCAACCAGCTCTGCTGAACCGTCCCGTCACTTTGCGTGCTCCTTTTAACTAGGGTTTCCCTACCTTTCTATTGGAGTTTGGAGGCACCTGGGGTTGGCCCTGTGTGTCCGTCTGCTCACTCTCTCAGCACTGTCTTTCAGAGAGCACAGAACTTACATTTTCACGGGGTCCAACGCGCCCACCGCTGTCTTTGTGGCTTAGGGTGCATCTGCCATGTTGCTCTGCACATTTTCAGTCTGGGGCAAGGGCAGGCTGGGAGCAGGCTGACTCAACAGCAAAGCCTTACCCAAGGGAGGCTTTGGAACCTGTGTGTGGCGGATAGGCCACAGACAGGCTGTCCGAGGCCTGTCCTCCAGGCTGGCTGTGCCGATAACCAGGTGGAAAATACCACCCAGGAAGCTGAGCGGGACTAAACAAACTCCAGGTTCCTTCACAGGCAAAGGAGGGTTTTGACTAAATAAATTTCAAAATAAATTTTCAAGCTAGCTGATTTTTTAGGGCTCTTTCCACTCAGAAGCCTTGGACTTGTACAAGTGTTTGTCTGGGCCCACACAGCTCAAAGAATGTGAGCTGAGCAGCATCTGGAGGGGTCACGGCCACACATGGCAGGGAATCTGAGAACGGAGGCAGAGGCGAACGTCATGGACAAGAGAAGTGCCTGCATCCAAATCCAACTGGGAACATCCCAAGGAAGGCAGGAGAAGAGAACACGTCAACCAAGAACTGTCTGAGGGAGCCAACCAGGAAACCCAGCCACGACGAAGTGCCCCTCTGCTGGAAGTGAAACACACAGACACATGCATACGTAACACACATGTACATACATGAGAGAGAGTTTTAGGACTCAAGGAATAGAGTCCAAATTGAGTTCTAACAGAACAGCTTTGCAAAACTCCTCTGGAATCTTGCCACAGAACCAAACCAGACAGACTGGGCTGACCACCAGAACTTTTAGTCTATTTTCTTATTTTTTGGCAAATCTTTTCTATGTGATCATCCTCAGTGTCCTCATTGCTTGTTTAGCATCTACAAGTAGTTTTCTAGGTAACAGTCCCCTGAGGTATCTGAGTTTTATCACCCAGGAAGCCCAGCAGACACGTGCGGACAGCATCTCTCTCTGGGTGACAGTCCTGAGAGAGAGCCCCAAGGAGGCCACATCTCCAGAAGAGAACAGCAGAGTCCAACCGGGACTGTGCTGTGGTTGGCAGATACTCCACATGAGAACACGCTACCTGGTCCCTCAGCCCTGTCTACAGAGCTGGCCCTGTGTCCCGACTCTGACAAGCAAACCCTGCTAAGAAAGAAAGGCACAGAGTGGACAGGAAGAGGAACACACCCAGCAGATGACTGGCTTTCCATCCCTGGCGACAGCACAGACTCACTGCCACGTGTCACCAGGTGACACATCGGCTCACAATCTGGAGAGAACCAGCAAAGGTGTGTGCCTGGACTGTGGCTTGTACTCCAGTGCAGGTGTGATAAGAGGAATGAGACAGCTGGCTTCCTGTGGGCGCTGCAGGACACATCACGAGGGGAGATGGAGCGTGAACTGTAACTGAGGCTGTGAGCAACAGGGCACACGGTGTGTACCCGATACGACAGAACCCCAATCTGCAAGCCTCACCCCTGCCCTCACACCCATGCCGGCCGAGCGGTCTCAGTATTTGCTGCGATGGAGGTGTGACACGCTGGGTCCCCTGAACTCAGCTCTCCCACACCTCTCAGTCACAGCCTGCAAATTCCCCCATCCTGCAAGTCCACCTGTCGGCCTTCAATCTTTCCAAACATCTTGTGCCACCTGCCTTGGCAGACTCTGCTTTTCAAAAACAGTTTCAAGATCACTGTCAGCCTTGGGTAGCACAGCCAGTCCTGAGGGGAGGCCCTGCCGGACCGTCCACATGCCCTGTCGGCACTGACCGACGGTGCTCTGATGCCATCTCGTCCCAGCCACCCCACTTGCTTGGGAACAAGGGCGCTCTGAAGGGAACCAATGCCGTGGCTGTCCTGTGTCTCCCTAGACGCAACAGGGAGGACAATGACCCCAGGTGGGTTTCTGGCGAGTCCTCTCCTAAATTCACTTATGTATGTATTTTAGGTGACTGGGGCAATCCACTTCCGTAGTGATCCTGCCTCGGAAACCCAAGGAGGGGTCGCTATGAGTCAGGTCCAACTCGACAGCATATAACAACAACAACAACAACATACTCTCGTCAGGAGCTCTGGCGGTGCAGTGCCTAAGGCATGTGACTGCTGACCAGAAGGCTGGGGGTTTAAACCCACCAGCCACTCCTCGGAAGGAAGGTTGGGCAATCTACTTCCGTAGAGATACCACCTCGTAAGGCCAAGGAGGGGTCGCTAGGAGTCGGGTCCAGCTCCCTGGCAGTGAGTTTAGATACTCTTGTTAAAAAAAAAAAAAGAAAGAAAAGAAAAAGCCAAAGTCCCTTAACGGCTGTTCCCTTCTCCTTCCTACAAATCCTGCCCCAGCTCTCAGGCAAGCATGCGTGTGTCACTTAAGCACATTTATGGCATTTGGGCAGTTTCTAAAATGCCTGCAGCATCCTACTGTGTGTGTCAAAATCCATTGCTTTGTTCTCTTAATGATGCAGCTGGTAGATCAGCCCCTGCATAGACACGGTAGCTGCCGCCTTCTTTTTATCTGCTATTGACAAACTTCCCCAGCAGAGAACTGTGTGGTAATTTACTCCCTGCTCCCAATGACAGACACTTAGGCCTTGTCTGTGTGTATTTTCCATTATATACAAAGCACGCTGCTCCCAGGAGAGAAACCTAGAAGCAGGCTTGCCCGTCCTCTCTAATTTAATGAAATCTAGGTCTTAGCTGTTCACACGTGTGATTCTACGTATCAAGCCCTGGAAAACCATTATCTTTCACGTCAGTTCTAGAAGACATGCGGTTCGGAACAGAAGGATTTAGAAAGAACTCCAGAATTTTCCATCATGTCTGAATTATTCAAGTGGAGTCAAGAGTGAAAGAACACACCAACCACAACAAAGGCAGGTCAGACTCGGTCATGAGACAGCACTTCAGTCTCAGGGGCTCCAGACAACAGACAGGAAGCCGGCAGGAGGACGGGAAGTGTGCACGAGCCACACCCAAGGGAAACGCTTCAGAAGGGCCACTGTCTGACCTGCACTCGTTTCATGATTCAGATTCAGAGACTGGTTTCCTCTGAGAGACAAAGACAACTGGGGAGTGGAACGTGCCAGACAGTCATGTGGAAGCTAAGCTGCATGTAACGTGGAGGCCGAGCCATATGTGTGTAACGTGGAGGATACGCTGCACGGAATGTGGAAGCCAAGCTGTACGTATGTGACGTGGAGGCTAAACTGTATGTAACATGGAAGCCAAACCGTACATACGTAACCTGGCGGCTAAGCCATATGTAACGTGGAGGCCAAGCCGTATGTACGTAACATGGAGGCTAAGCTACACATATGGATATAACATGGAGGCCAAGTTATACGTATGTATGTGATGTGGAGGCTAAACTGTATGTAACATGGAGGCCAAACCATACATACATAACACAACTAAACCAAATGTAACATGGAGGTTAAATTGTATGTAACGTGGAGGCCAAGCCATATGTACATAACATGGAGGCTAAGCCATACATACAAAACGTGGCGGCTAAGCCATATGTAACATGGAGGTTAAACTGTATGTAACATGGAGGCTAAGCTGTACGTACATATGTAACGTGGAGGATAAACTGTACATAACATGGAGGCTAAGCCGTACATATGTATGTAACGTGGAGGCTGCGCTGCATGGAATGTGGAAGCTAAGCTGTACGTATGTGACGTGAAGGCTAATGTATGTAACATGGAGACTAAGCCACACATACATAACGTGGAGGCTAAGCCATATATAACATGGAGGTTAAACTGTATGTAACGTGGAGGCTAAGCCGTACATACATATGTAATGTGGAGGCCAAGTTATACGTACATATGTAACGTGGAGGCTAAACTGTATGTAATGTGAGGCTAAGCCATATACGTATGTAACGTGGAGGCTAAGCCTTATGTAACATGGAGGTTAAACTGTATGTAACAATAGAAGCTAAGCCATACGTATGTATGTAACATGGAGGCCAAGTTATACGTACGTATGTAACGTGGAGGGTAAATTGTATGTAACATGGAGGCTAAGCCATACATATGTATGTAACGTGGAGACTAAACTGTATATAACGTGAATGCTAAGCGCACGTATGTATGTAACATGGAGGCTAAGCCATACGTACGTATGTAATGTGGAGGCTTACACGTATGTATGTAATGTGGAGGCGAAACTGTATGTAATGTGGCAGCTAAACCGTATGTAACGTGGAGGCTGAGCGGTATGTACATAACATGGAGGCTAAATTGCACATATATGACGTGGAAGCTGAGCTGGAATGAAGCTACTCCAGTCAGGGGAAAGCAGAAACGGTCCATGTGTGCAGCAACATGTATATATTTTTCGCTTTGGCTTAGTGTTTGGAGGATTTTTACATTTTCCAAAGAATACTATTTTTTGTTTTGACTTTGAACAAGGCCTCAAACTTGGTTGTCCTCACAATGAGCACCGACAGGGCGTCATGAGCATGGTCTTAATCAGAGAACGCAAGAACATACCCAGATGCAAGGGAACCATGCCCGCGTGACGGCAGCCCGTCTGAAAACCAAAATAAAAGGAGAACAATAACCTCTCAGGGCCCAAAGCCACAAGAGCGTCAAACTGTGACTTACTTTTCTATCAAATCCAGTGTGACTCCCGGCACCAGACGAACACATTTCTGCATGCAAAACCTGCCGGGAAAGAGGAGAGAGTCAGTCGCACGAACGCAAGGCTGTCCAGGTATACGGCAGTCCAGCAGAGAGCAAGGGGTGAAGGGTGGGGACGGGGTGCCCGGGGAAAGCAAGCCCAGCTGCCCTCACTGCGGGCCACTTCTGGGCTCCTGAAGAGAATCAAGGCCAGCCTGCCCCAGGGGCCACGACAGCACGTTCTCAGCAAGAGAAACACCAGTCTGCAGCCACAAAGGGGCCGGTCCCTGCAGAGGAGGCTGAGTGCCCATAGAGCCAAGCTCGCAGACCAACCAGCAAGGCTGCTCGGCCCTCCGGTTCTGTAGTTTCTGTTCCCCTGGGCTGGCCTGAATGAAGAACCTCAGGGCACACAAAAGAGCTACGTGGGTGAAGACAAAGCAACATCAGTGACGCCCCTTCAGTTACCCTAAGGTCGCCCCACCTGGAGCTGAGCGGCGGCCCCTCTGCAGGCCAGCCTCTCCGAGAGCTGGAAGGGGACCAGCTGCGTCCTGGCTGGTGTGTGCTCAGGGGAGGACCACACCATCTTGTGCCCCATCAGGACTCGGGCACACAGCAGGGCAGAATCAGTGCAACACAGAGCCAAAGGCCAGCTTAGCGTTTTCAGCGGGAGGAAGCACAATGTTTACTTCCCTGGTTTCAGAATGAAGCTTGACAAGGCCTCTCAAACACACACACACACACACACACACACACACACAGCAAACATCTACGTTGTCTAGAAAACGTGACCATGCCGAGCGCAAGCTGGAGAGGAGGCGTGAGGAAGGCTGGGAAGGACCTGGGACCCGGGGAAGGAAAAGCACCACGACAGGGCCTGCTCGTGGAGAGCCCCGTTCGAGCCCATCCGCTGGGCAGAGCCGTCCCAGGCACCTTCTCACGCTCCCTTCACCTCCAGCTGCCTGCACTGGCCCCGCTCCAGGTCTCTGCAGGCACCAGCTGGCACAGACTCGCCCCCCACTCCTGCAAGCTCCCTCAGTGGGTAACGACCACCTGCAGGAGACACATCTCCGAGTCTGATGCCACGTCCTGCATAGACCAGGCTATTCTGTTCTCCTTGTCTTTTGGTCTGTAATGCATTTATTGATTGGACCTTCTGGTTTCCAGTAATGACAGAGTAATTAGTGTTAGACTAACACTCTTGCCAATAGCAATAAGCAATGGACAAAATACAACAGGCACCAGGGAACAAGCGAGCAGGCAGGACCTGGAGGGTGTGGCCCTTGAGGAGGCAGTGCCTGCCTGGGCCCACCTTGACCTGGCTTCTCCCCAGGGTGTCATCATTCACACAGCTCACGAAAAGCAGCAATCTGACTGCGTTGCAGAGTCAGAAACAGGAATCCAAGGCTGCCGGGAAACAAGGAAGCGAGACTCAGAAAGGAGGGCCCACAGGGGGAAGGCCTCAAAACCTGTGTGCAAACCTTCCATAGTCCTGGGCTGCCTCTGGTGCTTCACACTCATGGGACAGGACTCCAAGGACTGAAGCAGAGAGCAGCAGCTACAAGGCTGAGAACACTGAGCCAAGCTCCTGACATCTCCTTGCCCTGGGAAGGCAGAGAGGGAGGGCACGTCCCACCAAATTAGAAGGGCCCAGGAAGCATCTGGGACTTTCCACGGAAACCCCAGAGAGGCTGTGTCTTAGACAAGAACCAGATCCCAGGAGTGAAAACAAAGCAAAAGAGACCAGTCCTGCAACCAAGCGTGTACAAGACCAACTTAACTCTCCACAAGGACAGAACTAAACAGTCTCAGAGGAAGAGAACACAATCCAGCATCTGACTAATGTCTCATCCACGATGCACCGTATCCCATCTAAAGTCAAGAGAAAAACAGTCAACAGGAAGAGATTACAGTGGACCAGATTTTGGAATTA